GGGGAGGTAGCATTCTGTCTGTACCTGTGCATGCCTACCTAGGGAGGCCCTGGGGGGCGTCCGGGGCTGGGGCAGGGCCGGCTGTAGGTGTAGCCGCGGAAGCCAGGCCTCTCCCACCCCGGCTCGCCTGGGAGCATGAGAGCCTCAGCTTAGCTGTAAGCACCTGCTATTCCTGACTGTGGGGTGAACCCCCCCATCCAGAGATTAAGCCCAGGGTGTCCCAGTTGCCATCACTTTAGCCAGCACCGGTGGCTCCACCCATGTGTCCTGGGTGGGGAAGAGAGCACCGCCAGGCCCCTCACAGCAGGCCAGCCTGGGTAGGCGGAGGGGCTGCAGGAGGAGGGGAGGGGAGGGGAGAGGAGGCGAGGGCCTGCCCCAGGGCCCTGGGGCCTTTCCCGAGCTGTTCACCTTCGGGCTGCGTGGTCCTGGCCCTCATCCCCTATCTCCCTGTGCCCCGCTCCTTGCCCGGGGTACAGGAGGGGGCGGGATGACACAAGGTCCAGGTGCTAGGACGACCACAGGGCAAGGGTACTGAGACCCCAGGATGCCCCCGCCAGGTCCTGCCATCCCCCCCCCACCCCCGGGAGGCTGTGCCTGGCCCCGGGTGTCCCGAGGTGAACCATAGCAGTGGGTTCATCTGCGTGGCGGTTCCAGGCAGGAGCCGTGGGGAGGCCAGGGCCTCAATGCTCCCAGCGGCCGGGGACAGAACTGAGCGTACACACTGCATAGACGGAGCGGGGACCCAGAGCTGTGGACGAGCAGCCTAGAGGTCACTCAGGGCCCCCACGGGTGACCCTGTCCCCCAGGCTCAGTGGGCGCTGACCTGGCCCCGCACACCCGCCCCTGCAGGGACTGGTACATGAACGGGAAGTACCTGGTAATCCTGGTCTCTGTCACTGTCATCCTGCCCCTGGCGCTGATGCGGCAGCTGGGTGAGTGTGGCAGGGTCAGGGTCTTGGCAGGGCGGCTGGAGGGCCACGGGAGGGCCCACTCACAGCCCCCTCCACTTGACAGGCTACCTGGGCTACTCCAGCGGCTTCTCACTCAGCTGCATGGTCTTCTTCCTGATTGCAGTGAGTCCGCCGCCATGCTGGCTGAGGGCAGGGTGTCCCAGGGGAGCCCTTTGTTGGGGGACTGGCCAGCCCTGGGAGAGTCCTGTGAGAAGGTGGCTTCTCCTCGGTTTCACCTCCGCCCCTGCCGCCCGCCAGGTCATCTACAAGAAGTTCCACGTGCCCTGCCCCCTGCCTGCCAGCTTCGCCAACAGCACGGGCAACTTCAGCCACACGGAGGCCGGGGAGGGGACGGCGCAGCTGCAGGTGGAGACCCAGGCCGCAGCCCTCTGCACCCCGAACTACTTCACGCTCAACTCCCAGGTTCTGACAGGCCGGGGCAGGGACGGGGCCGGAGAGGGGGGGCTGCCTTGACACAGCGCCTGTCTCCCCAGACAGCCTACACCATCCCCATCATGGCCTTCGCCTTCGTCTGCCACCCCGAGGTGCTGCCTATCTACACGGAGCTCAAGGAGTGGGTGTCTGTGGCCGGGCCGGGCCGGGCTTGGGACTCCGCTGTGGCCCTGGGTGGATCTCCATGGCTGCCAGGATGGGGGACTGATGGGAAGAGGGGACTCCCTGAAGGCAGGGCGCCGAGGGCGTGGGGCGGCCGGGATGGCCCAGCGTGTCACGCGTCCCCCATGCCCACAGCGCCTCCAAGGGGAAGATGCAGCACATCTCCAACCTGTCCATCGCCGTCATGTACGTCATGTACTTCCTGGCCGCGCTCTTCGGCTACCTCACCTTCTACGGTATGGCGGGCCGCGGGCAGAGGCCACCACGGCCAGGCGGGGGCGGGGACCAGAGGGGAAGGCAAGAGGGACTCAGCGCTGGTCCGGTGCGCCACAACTGACGGTGCCCTGCAGCCGGGGAGGGGAGTGTGTGCCGCTCTGCAGTGTCACCTCCCTGCCGCAGGCGGGGGGGAGGCGGGGCTGCTGCACAC